TTGTTTTTGGCTTTTTCTTGCGTATCTCTAGTTGCATGCTAGGCTTTATTTTGTTTAATAAATTTTTCAATTTAGTCGACTCGCTCATGTTAGGATCAGCCTTCTTACATAACTTTAGAATTTCATTAAAAAAATTACAGACAGATTGTTTCTCCCCTTGAGTATATGACTCAAGGGTTTTAAACGCTAGCTCTTCCGAAAAGGACGAAGTAAAAGCTTTTTTAATTTCTTGAACAAATGTATCCCAACTAGTTAGGACTGATTTGTTATTTCGAAACCACTGACTGGCATCTCCTCTTAAAGAATAAGAAATGAGATCGAGCCGGTTCGTATCAGGAACATGTGCAATGTGCATCAAATGATCAATATCCTCTAACCATTTTATCACGTCGTCCTTATTACCACGAAAAATCTTTGGATTTCGTATAAAATCTGTTACGATGGCTTTGCGTAAATCTGTTATTACTGGATCTGATGGTAAACGATTAATTGTTGAAGTATTTCCAGATAACTTAGAGTCTGACACATCACCACTCGTTGTGGTGGTATCATCAGTAGCAAGCTTACTATAAGAAGAAACAGATGATTGTAACAACTGGGTAGCACCTGTTGTATTCGCGACATTTACTTGTGAATCTGTAGTTATGTTACTGATGTACACAGAATCTTTCGCAAATTCAACTTGATGATTAGCTTGACTAGATTTAGAATTACTGACTGTTACTGGACTTGAATCGAAATGTGTTAGTAAAAATTCATAAAAATCATCAAAAGATTTTATGACGTGACGGTTTTTGATATATTTACGCTTCGCATCGCCCTGTACTAAAAGAGGTATTGCTTGAAAACGAAGTTTACGTGAGATCTTGAAGCGATGAAATAAAGCATCAGTCTCATCTAACCATTGATCGATCGGTTCTGCTCCCGAAAAAGGAATAAAGTTCTCACAAATAAATGTATCAAATAGATTATCATCTCCCTCTTCATCACTTGTATGATCTTTCGGATGAGATTGATTATGAATTAAATTCGTTATTGCTGAAGTACCTTGTCGATTATCACATAAAACATGATCATCTTCTAAACCAGCATTCTTCTCGGTAGATATAACAGTATTCATTAATGAGCTATCCTCATTACTACAGGATTGAGTTTTAGTAGATACTAATAATTTATCTGGTTTGTTCGGTGTAGGAATAATATTCATACGCCGTGTCAATTTTGAAAAAGAACTAGGTTTAGATGCTGGATTAAATGTTGATGTTAATATTAAATTTTCTGAATGTGTTGGTAAATTAAGTGAACCTAATGACTCAGACTTCTGCATCTTTAGAATGTTGTTTACTATGTATTCCTGACACGAAAAATGAATACGAAAAAAAAGAATGAAATAGAAAAAATAATATAGATATAGGTGAATAGAACAAGCAAATATATCTATATATGATATAATAATATCGAAACGACAAAAAAAGAAAAAAAAATCGAATGATGGTATAGTTTCGAGAAAAAAAAAATTATAATAATGATCGTTTTTTTTTTAATGATAAATTTTAACTTCTCCACCAATTGTTAGCTCTGTCATGGGGATGATCTTACTGAGCTTAACTTCTCTGTATATATATAAGATATAGCTTACATATATAAATCGATATGAAGCTGTTGGATGATATATATATATATATATTGATTAAACAAAAAAATAATATCAAAAATGATAACGACCAGCAGAAAGATGATGAATAGAAAAACAAAAAACTACATATATATATATATATATATGCGTAATATCAACTAACTCAATCACGTGAGCGGTGTTTTCCAATCGATTGCGTAACAGAACGAAAATAAATAGAGCGGAACACTGTAGATGATAATCAACGACATCTACAGGCGCTCACATGACTAGTCTCTAAATATAGACCTGGAAAGATCTTTGCTAGTTCCTTGTATTTTCTTATCAAGATCCTGCTGATACTTGCATTTATTTTCTAAGTATTCGAAATGCCTGTTCTTGAACAGTTCCGCTGAGGGACCTGATCAATGTTTGACAGGATTTCTTAGTTGAGGACTGTGACTAATCTTTTTTTATTTCTGATATGATCCTTCTCTAATATAACTATGACAGTTGGCAGAATCCTTGTATCAGGATCTAGGGTACATCTTGACTCAAACCTAATGAAATCTTGATAAAATTTTCTTTATGATTTTTGTCAGATTCCTGAATAGGATTAACGGTGAATCTTAGTAAGATCCTACAAACTCAACTCAGAAAAAAATCTGACCAAGAACGTGAACAAATCTTGCATAGAATCCTGAAACAAACCTGACAGGATCCTTGAGATTTATTATTTGGAAAGATCCTTCAAGACTATCTCAAGAAATTGGCATGGCCGAGTGGACTAAGCCGTAACCTGTAAAGATCTCTGCTAAATCCTTACATGTTCTTATCAAGATCGTGATTAGAATTGACAGTGTCTTGCAAGTTTTGGAAACGCATATTCTTGAAAAAGTTCTAAACAAGATCCTGATTGAAGCTTTCCAGGATTAGTCTGTTTCATATTCTGACAGATCTTATTATTTTCTTGCCAGGATCCTCGTCTGATGTGACTATCACTCTTGACAGGATCCTAATACAAAGATTTGTCGTAGATCCTGACGAGAACCCGATACAATCTTGGCAGAATTCTCTCTCATTATCTTGAGAGGATCCTTAATAGAATCTTGAGGAGATCCTGATAGGATTCTGTATTCTCAACTCAGAAAAATATCTGAGCAGGAACTTGAAGAAATCCTGAACAGGATCTTGTTTCACCTTAAAAATCCAGGAGACAGGAAATACTAAGGATTTGAAACAGGATCCTGAATAAAAGCTTGACAAGATCCTTAAGATTCAGGATCCTGAAAGATCCTTCCAAGGTTTCTCAAGGAATGAACAGGATTGAAACTAGGGTATTATGAGTACACGACCAAAAATTTCGATCCAGTTGATATGTATTATGTTTACCTACCAAAATTGTCAAAATCTTAAAAATTGATTATCTGGGTCCAGACTCGCTATGGGCACGTAAGATTTTAAATTTGTTAGTTTGGCGGTGAGAGTAATAATTTGATCCTAATGCGGTCGATTAACTCGATGAACAATACAAAAGGTTC